GAAAGTATTAGCCCAAGAGACAGAAAGGGCCACATAAACCAGAGACTTCATCAGCCTGAGACCAGAAGAACTAGATGGTGCCCGGCTACCACTAACGACCGCCCTGACAGGGAACACAACAGAGAGTCCCGGATGGAGCAGGAGAAACGTGGGTTGCAAAACTCAAATTCTAGTAAAAAGACCAGACTTACTGGTCTGACTGAGACTGGAGGAACCTCAGAGAGCATGGCCCCCAGACTCTGTCAACCTAGAACTAAAACCATTCCCATAGACTGGACTATGGGACGTAAAATGATAGTCGAGAAGAGGGTGCTTCTTAGCTCAAGTAGATACATGAGACTAAATGCGCAGCTCCTGTCCGGAGGCAAGATGAGAAGGCAGAGAGGGTCGGGAGCTGGTTGAATGGACATGGGAAATTGGGGGTGGAAAGGAGAAGTGTGCTGTCACAGTATAGGGAGAGCAATTAGGGTCACATAACAATGTGTGTATAAATCTTTGTATGAGAAACTAACTCGAACTGTACACTTTCAGTTAAAGTACAAAAAAACCAACAAACAAACCAGATCTGCTCCCTCTTAGTTTTAGGGGATGCCACACAACAGAGTCCCAGCAAGGCTGGCTCTGCTCAGGCCCTGCGAGCAACTGTCACCACCACCCCCACCGCCCCCGCCACCCCCGCCACAAAGGTGTGAACTGGAGGCAGGCCTTGAGTCTTGGCTGAAAAGCAGGATGAATAACCCAAGAGGCCCCTGGCATTAATCAGGGACACATCACCAAGCAACAGGGCTTCTCCTGGGAGCACCAATGCCAGCGCCCCATCCCAGAGGTGTCTGGGCTCTCAGACAGGCGAGCTCATCTGCATGTTACCATCCTGCTAAGGAGGCCCTCTCGTGCCCCTTGGCCCCCCGTCCTTTCAAGTCCCAGCCTCCAGGACACAGCTCGGATCCTCCCACGAGGAGAGCGGAGGGCTCAGAAGGGCAATCGCAGCTCCGAGTCCGAGCACCTGGGTCCTGGGCCAGATTCTGCTTCAACAAACATCAAGGACTGAGTGGACTCTCTCCCCCGATGCAAATCTGGTTACAGCAGATACCGCGTGGGAAAGCAGGCCAACAGTTGGCACTTGGAGGGCTCCTGGTATCCAAAGACCCGGCCGGATTTGTAACTGTTTGCGGTAACGAATTTGGCCCGTGTCCACTAAAGAACATGCTGTTCAGCTGCATGGGGCTCAGCCGAGCGAAAGTAAGATAGATCAGGGGGTCACCCTCCTGCCACCCGGCATGCACGGGTACCACAGAGAAACGGGGAAGGAGACTCTCTAGAAAGTGCACCAGCAAAACACAAAAATCCTTGACCTGCCCCTGAATGGATGGTCTTCACAGTCCCCTGAGACTTCTGAAGAACAGAACTCAAAAGACGTGGCCAAACTAGAAGAGGGACCGGATCTCCATGCAAGCCCTCGGGGACAGTGCTTAAGGATTCCACACTGTGGCTCCCGAGTCCTCAAGAGAGGCGGGGACAGACAGGGAAGAAAAAGATGAAAAAACAAGTGTGCTCCCCAGAGCAGGGGCAGATGCACCCAGCATGTGAGGCTTCAGCAGGAATTTAACTCAGGGCACTCACTCCTACACACATACGCACGCGCGCACTCAGAGTAACTTCCTGTCTGCAGGGGAGGCTGTTGTGGGCTGGACACCCACCCCTCCACACCCCCAAAACCCACCACACACCCCACCCTCCCACCCCCAGGTAGCTTCCTGTCTGCCCTGGACACTGCCCCAAGCCCCAAACCTGCCTTTGGGCCAGCTGCAGGATTCCAGGGTGGACGTCACCCCAGAGAATTCAGCCCACTCAGGGCTGTCCCCTGGGCCTCCACCCTTCAGAATTGACCTGAGAAGACCACTGCATCTCCCTACCCCAGGAACCACTGAGGCCACCGTGGCCGCTGCCAAGGAGCTGACAGTTTCCGCTCTGTCTCTTCCGATGAACGCTGCAGAAAGCAAGAAACCGCTGAGTGGCCCAGGCAGCAGCCTCCTCGCCGGGCCCCCTCCAGCTGCTCACCGCGCGCAGTCCACTCTCCTGGCGGCACGCCCAGCCCTCCACGGCCCAGCCATCCACTCTGGACACGCTGGCTCCTCCTCAGGCCCCAGCCCCCAACGGCCCAGCTCATCTGGCCTCCCTGGCTCCTGCTGCCGCTGCCAGAATGCCACCCTCCTTCCTCTGCCATCTCCAGGCCCACGGTCCACCTCCTCCACATCAACTTCTCCGGTCAGCCCGCAGGGACCTTTCTCTGTCCCGATTCTGACACGGCTATCACCCATTATTGTGCTGGACCGCACACCCTACTCCCTTGACTGTTTCTTCCCCAAGTCTGAAGTTGTCTTCCTCCCACGTCCATGCCTTCCCCCTATTAACTCCACCGCAAGCGCCTGGAGTCCTAGGGACCACTTGCCTTCTGGCCCCCAAGTCAGCTCTGCAGGGCCAAACGACCGGGGACCCCTCACACACACTCACAGTCATGCACACACACTCATGCATGCACACACACACAAATGCACACATGCTCATGCGTACACTCACACTCACACACTCACACGCATGCATGCTCACTCACATGCATACGCCTGCGTTATACTCATACACGCATGTGCAAGCACACACTTATGTACAAACTCGTGCGCACACACATCCATGTGCATGCTCCCATGTGCACATATGCACACACACACACGCACACACTCAGCAGCCACTTGGGATGGGCCACACATGGCAGAGTGTACTCAGCACCCACAGGGACACTGATCCACACAGTGACCCAGAGCTCCCCCAAGGCCCCTCTCTGTGAGCATGAAATCCTCCCCTGCAGTTGAAAGGGCTGCCAGCTGTTCCACAACGCTTGTCTCAGTGAGGCCATTGTCTCTGGCTAAATGAGAGGGTCAAGAAGCTATCTTGTCCAAAAAAACCCAGGAGCTCTCTTGGGAGGCATCCACAGAGGCGACCAACATCTCTGGCTGCATGCACATCAGAGCCAGGACGGAGCTGCACCGTGACAAGGCAGAGCGCACAAGCTCCAGGCTGTCACACTAGTGCCACCCTCAAGTCGCTACCCCCATTTGCACAGGCCTCCACCCCCCCCCCCCCTTTTCCTCAGAAACTCTGCCAACACCATGCTTTGAGATCGGGAAATAAAGGCAGACACCTCGGGCCCGCAGGCCACAAGGAGAAAGTGCTTACGGCACTTTCCTGAAGGGGGCAGCCGTCCCCACGGCCCACTGGGCTGGGCTGGCAAACACCCCACGTCGGGCACTTAGGGGAGGAAAGCCCCTGCAGGAGCCGAGAGGAGTCTCCATGCAGCAGCGGCTGCAGGGAGAGTAAACTTGGGGGAGACCCCAATATGAGCACGCACCCCCTCCCATGTCAAGACGATCCAGGTACCACGTCATCCCAACTTTTCAGACCCCAAATTCCCCTTGTTCTGGGACAGCGTGATGGAAGGCTCACTGAGTGGACAAAGTGACAAAAAGTGGACAAAGTGTGCTGTTTTTCATCCTTTGCACAGAGTGATGGCCACTGGGGGTCAGTAGACTGCACCACGACCTCCTCCTAGCTCTTCAGCTCTTCATCAGCCCCCCCAGTCCAGAATCTGGAAGGCTCTGGTCCCCAGATGCCCCTGCAACGGGCTGACCTGAGGTGGGCCGTGTGCGCGCTGGACTCGGGCACCTAGATGCTGGTTCAGGTCCTGGTCGTTGGAGGCTGCAGGACTCTAGGCTTGTCACCTCCCGGCTTGGCCTGGCACCCTCTCAGCGGGGCCTCTCCCAGGGCCCAGCCCACCAGACAGCTCTGCCCTACGCTGCCTGCCAGCCCCTCCGCAGGGCGGGGGCTGCAGGCCCGGCAGAGGCAGGCCCGCCCCTCCGCAATCCAGGCCCCAGGAGTGCTGGAAACTATTGTGTGCGCTTCCCTTCCTACTGCTGTATTTACTCCCTGGGACGCAGGGGACGAGGGCAAGGCCACAGGCAGTCACGAGGACACAAGAAAACACACACAGGCCCAGGGACGGGAAGCCAGACCCACACCCACACCCAGAGGGAGAAGCCCCCCAAGTTCCCCCACACTGTTAAACCTAGAAGGGGGTAGGGAGACGCACGCAGGCCCCTTCTTTACCCACCGTCCGGCTCTGGGGTCAGAGTAGGGTGTCCCCAGGCCTGGATGGGGCCCTGGGCTGGTCCGCTGGGGCGCGCCGGCCTTGGGTGCCCACTCGGAGGCCGTCCCCGGCCTGATTCGGCTCAGCGCCGGCCTGAAACTACGTGGGGGATGGGAGGGCTGCCACGGAGCCGGACGCGGCCGCCCACTCGGCGGGGCTGGCAACCGACTCCTCTCTGCGCCCGCACCGCCCAGCCCCAAAGCCGCCCAAGCGAGAGGGAGAAGTGGGCGATCGGCGGCTCCAAGTGAAAACTGCGCGCCCGGAGTAGTTCCGTGGCAGCCTGAGCGCCACCCAGGAGGTCGATGCTGCTCGGTGAACACAAACAACAAGAAAGGAAGGAAGCCGGCCAGCAGCGCCGAGCGAGCGAGGAGCCGGGGTTCGCAGTCCCCGGCAGCGGGGTCCTCCACGTAGGCGACGCGGGGCCAGACGCGCGGCGCTCTTGGCGGAGGTGGGGGGGCCCTCCATCGGGGGTCCCGCCTCCCTACCGCGCCCCCGTCCCGTGCCAGGCCGGCCCAGCGCCCACCTTCGAAGTCCGAGATGATCCCGTCCAGCTGCGCGTTGACCGCGGGGTCGGACATGGTGGCTCGCGGGCCGCGGACGCGCGGGG